AAACTTTCATTATTATTATATTTGTTATGGTCATCTGTGATCAGTGATCTTTGATGTTACTCTTGTCATTGTTTTTGCATGCCATGAATTGTACCTATATGAAACAGTGAACTTAGTAAATGTTGTGTGTGTTCTGAGTGTGGTTGGCCTACCCTATTACCTGAAATACAACAATATTGAAATCAGGCCAATAACCCTACAATGCCCACTAAGTATTTGAGTGAAAGAAAGAGTTTCATATCTCTCACTTTATATATATATGCATACACACACACACACACACACACATACATATACGACAGGGCATAAGTGAATGAAGGGCAGAGAAAGAGAGAGAGAGAGGGAGAGAGAATCTCACAAAGGGAAGAGAGAGAGAGAGAGAAAGAGAGGGAGGGAGAGACAGAGAAGCAGGGCCCACCCAGAGCGAGGCTCGTGCACACCTGATGCCGGGCTTGAATTCACGCATCGTGAGATCCTAACCCGAGCCGAGGTCAACATCTGTCTTTCAATCAAATGCTAGAAATCATTAAACTTAGAGAGGAAGGCATGTCGAAAGCCACGATAGGCCTAAATCTAGGACTCTTGTGTCAAACAATTAACCAAGTTGTGAATACAAAGGAAAAGTTTTTGAAGGACATTAAAAGTGCTACTCCAGTGAACACATGAAGGATAAGAAAGCAGAACAGCCTTATTGCTGGTAAGGAGAAAGGTTTAGTGGTCTGGATAGAAGATCAAACCAGCCAAAACATTCCCTTAAACCAGAGCCTAATCCAGAGCAAGATCCAGACTCTATTCAATTCTGTGAGAGCTGAGAGAGATGAGGAAGCTGCAGAGGAAAAGTTGACGCTAGCACACATTGTTTCGTGAGGCATGAAGGAAGAAGCCATCCCCACAACATAACAATGCAAGGTGAAGCAGCAGGTGCTGGTGGAGAAGCAGCAACAAGATGGTCTAGCTAAGACCATTAATGAAGGTGGCTACACTAAACAATACATTTTCAAATCTAGCCTTATACTAGAAGATACCATCTAGGACTTTCATAGCTAGAGAAAAGTCAATGCCTGCCTTCACAAATTCAAAGGACTGGCTGACTTTCTTGTGGAGGATTAACGCAACTGGTGACTGTAAATTGAAGCCAATTCTCATTTACCATTCTGAGAATCCTAGGGCTGGTAAGAGTTATGCAAAATCTACTCTGCCTTTGCTTTATAAATGGAACAGCAAAGCCTGGATGACAACACATCTGTTGACAATATGATTTACTGAATATTTTAAGCCCACTGTTGAAACCTATTGATCATAAAAAAGTGACTTCTTTCAAAACAATAGTGCCCATTGACAGTGCACCTCGTCACCAAAGAGACTTGATAGAGATGTACAGCAAGGTTAATGTTGTGTTCATGCCTGCTAACACAACATCTATTCTGCAGCCCATGGATCAAGATGCAATTTCAACTTTCAAGTCTATTATTCCTTTCAAGTTATAATTAAAGTGTAACTGACATACAATGTTTTATTACTTTCAGACGTATAACACAGTAATTCAACACATTCTGTACATTACTCAGTGCTCACCCCAATAAGCATAGTCACTGTACATCATTACAAATTATTGTCTATATTCTCCACACTGTACTTTTCATCTCCATGACTTGTGATTTTAAAACTGGAAGTTTGTACCTCTTAATTCCCTTCACCTATTTTGCCCATTCCGCCACCAGCCTCCCTTCTGGCAACCACCATATTGTTCTCTGTATTTGAGTTTGGTTGGTTTGTTCATTTATTTTGGGTTTTCTTGTTAGATTTCATATGTAGTAAATACTATGGTATTTGTCTTTCTCTGACTTATTTCACTTTGAATAATATGTCCAAGTTGTAGTAAATTACAAGATTTCCTTCATTTTTGTGACTCATATTCCAGTGTGTGTGGTGTGTGTGTGTGTGTGTGTGTGTGTGTGTATGTGTGTGTGTATGTGTGTGTGTGTACCACATCTTCTTTATCCACTCATCTATCAGCGGACACTTGGGCTGGTTCCATACCATGGCTATTGTAAGTAATGCTGCAGTAAACATATGGGTACATATATCTTTTAAAATTAGTGTTTTCATTTCAAGTCTTATTACTTAAGAACTACATTTTATAAAGCTATAGCTGCCATAGATAGTGATTTCTCTGATGGATCTGGACAAAGAAAACTGAAAAACTTCTGAAAAGGATTCAGTTTTACATGCCAGTAAGAACATTTGAAATTCATGGAAAGGTGCCAAAGTATCAACACAAAGAGGATTTTGAAAGAATTTGTTTCTAACCCTCATGGATGACTTTGAGGGGTTCAAGACTTCAGTGGAGGAAGTAACTGTAGATATTGTGGAAAGAGCAAGAGAACTAGAATTAGAAGTGAAGCTTAAGGATTTGACTGAATTGCTGCAATCTTATAATGAAACTTGAGCAGATGAGGAGTTTCTTCTTATGGATGGGCAAAGAACATGTTTTCTTGAGATGGAATCTATTCCTGGTGAAGATGCTGTGAAAATTGTTGAAATGACAACAAAAGGATTTAGAATATTAAATCAACTTAGTTGATAAAGCATGGGCAGGGACTGGATGAACTCCCATTTTGAAAGAAGTTGAGTTGTGGGTAAATGCTATCAAACAACATCATATGCTACAGAGAAATCTTTAATGAAAGGAAGAGTCAATCTATGGGGCAAGCTTCACTGTTGTCTTATTTTAAGAAATTGTGGGTACCTGAGTGGCTTAGTCATTTAAGCATCTAACTTCAGCTCAGGTCATGATTTCATTGTTCATAGGTTTGAGGCACATATCGGACTTTGTGCTGACAATAAGGAGCCTGCTTGGGAATCTTTCTCTGTCTCTCTCTCTCTCTCTCTCTCTGCCCCTCCCCTCCTCTCTATTTCTCCCTCTCAGAATATATATTTTAAAAAATTAAAAAAAAAAGAAATTGCCACAGCCACCCCAAACTTCAACAACCACCATCCTGATCAGTCAGCAAGCATCAGTAAGGCAACTCCCTCCCCCAGCAAAAGATTATGATTTGCTGACAGCTCATATGATGGTTAGCATTTTTTTACAATAATGTATTTTTAAATTAAGGTATGTATATTGCTTTTTTAGACATAATGTCATCACACACTGAATAGACTATACAGTATAAACATAACTTTTATATGCACTGGGAAGTAAAAAAAAAAATCATTTGACTTTCTCTATGGTGGTGGTCTGGAACTAAACCTGCAATATCTTCAAGGTATGCCTGCATTCCTAATCTCATTAACTAAACAAGTATAGCAAACCAGAATACTTTCCAAAACCAGAAGGAAATTAACATATGAAAGGGCCATTTGCAAAACCCATGGTGAAGTAGAGCCTTCATTCCACAGTCATTAAAAAACCAAAATTTAAAAATGTGTAGGTCTATCATATCATATAAAAATTATCCTCATTTATTTTCTCAGACATTAACCTAATCACCAATTTTTCATCTTTTAAGATAGCGGATATTTGTGATTAGAATAGTAAATCAATATATTTGGTTCTTGAGAAAATGAAATATCTACTTAACAATTGAGTTTTCCAAATTTTTCTCTAAATGAATAGTTTGGAGATAATGATAATGCTCCCGCTATGCAACAAGCTCAGTGACCTTGGTTAAATTACTTAGCTACTCTAAGTCTCGTATCTTCAATAAAATGGACAGAATAGGACCTATCTCATAGGACTGTTGTCAGAAGAGAATTGAATGAGATTTTATACACTCACGCACATGCACACACACACACACACACACACACTTCCATACTTGCATAGCCCAGCACCTCGTACAGAGTGGGCATTCAATAAATATTAACTATTTTTAGAAATTGCATTGAGATGGTGCCTTGTCTCTCACAAGCAAGACTCCCTCAGCCTTCTTCAAAACATATATATTGATCAGTCAAATGCTAAGAATAGAGCAGTGACAAAACAAAATTCTTTGCCTACATGGAGCTTATGTTTTGACCTAAATGGAAAATATTAGAATAGTCCATTTTGACAGTTTCTACACACTTTTAGTATCTTTGTGTAATTAACCTTAGTACATCTTGAAATTAATCAATTATATTGGCTTTGCAAAACCAAATTAATAATTCTTCTTAGCCTTCTACCATTTAGTTATCCTTATTGACATTTACAATGAAGAGGTTTAGACTTTATCATTTATCTTTTAAAGATATCAATGAGGGGCGCCTGGGTGGCTCAGTCGGTTAGGCGGCCGACTTCGGCTCAGGTCATGATCTCGCGGTCCGTGAGTTCTAGCCCCACGTCGGGCTCTGTGCTGACAGCTCAGAGCCTGGAGCCTGCTTCAGATTCTGTGCCTCCCTCTCTCTCTGCCCCTCCCCTGTTCATTCTCTGTCTCTCTCTGTCTCAAAAATAAATAAACGTTAAAAAAAAAATTAAAAAAAAAAGATATCAATGAAATATTTTATCTCTGTATGGCCTTCTGATAATACAAATAATAGAATGTTAAAGATATTAGGACTAAAAGGATCTCACAGGGGCACCTGGGTAGCTCAGTCAGTGAAGCGTCCGACTTCAGCTCAGGTCATGATCTCTCGGTTTCTGAGTTTGAGCCCCGCATCCGGCTCTGACAGCTCAAAGCCTGGAGCCTGCTTCATATTCTGTGTTTCCTCCTCTCCCTGTCCCTCCCATGCTCATGCTCTGTCTCTCTGTCTCTCAATAATAAATAAATGTTAAAAAAGGGATCTTATACAATTCACTCACTTTATTTATCTCTTGAGATACCAAAGTCCAGACTTTAAGTAACCTAAGTAAAGACAGAATTGTCATTAAAAGACATAGGACAGAGTTAGCATATCTAAAAGATATACCTTTTCATGGTACTCATTTTGTTAGGGAGAAAATGTACCTCTTGAATCCTAAGTGCCATAAAATTGGTGAAGATTATACTGACGTGAATGACTGCTGTCTTTGCTAACAGCTGGATTCCAATGGAGAACTGCTCATCCGAAATGCCCAGCTGAAGCATGCTGGGAGATACACGTGCACTGCTCAGACAATCGTGGACAATTCTTCAGCTTCAGCTGATCTTGTTGTGCGAGGTAAGAGTTTCAACATTTTAAAATTATGAAACCAAAGGTATTTGACTTGCATAACTATGTATAATCTTCTGGTCACTCTGGTATGAATTCTTATATATTTAGAGTCTTGGTCCTTGAGAACAGCTCCTCATCCATGCTTAAGAATGCTTTTTGCTAGACAAGTAGTAAACAACACTGATTTTGTTTGTTTTACTAACTACATGTCTTCTAGAAACTTACACCACATACCTCCTACTAAATGTTTGTGCTTTTAAACTCAGTATTTACCAGAAGTTCTCAGTTTCTGCTAATACTTTTCGTGTGTTGAGAATAGTGTTTCCATTTTTATTTTTTATGGAAAAAGCATACTGATACTGTTTACTATAACTTCAAGTGTTACGTATTTATTACTGTAATCTTAGAATAAGAAGTTAATTTATACATGCATCATGTTTCTATTTGTTGCTAGCTTTCAGAGCAGTGTTTTTGTTCTTATATATAATTGAGAATGTGCTGGGATATGCCCTTTTTGAAAATACAGCTCCTTTGGTACTGGTCTTTGCTGTATAGCTGTAAGGCCATCTCAAAACATCATTCATTGGCTCTTCCCTCACCGCCTACAGAATAAAGACCACTCCTTTTAACTAAGCACCAAGAAGGTCCATGTATTGACCTCAGCCTGTTTAGCTTTAATTTCTTACCATTCTACGTAACCAACTCCAGTGTCCCACCAGTCTACAAAAATATCCTAGGATTTCCAGCTGTGTTCCTTGGTTCACAACATTGCTTCCATTTCCTGTAGTCATTATTTGTTGCCCAAGTCTTAAGCCATCCTTCAAGGCTAGGCTCAAGTATTTCCAAATTAATGAGTCCTTTCCTGATGTCACCAACATAAGCCCTTGTCTTCTAAACTTTCATAACATTTACTGCTTTCTATAATGCATTTTATAGCAATCTGTGCATATGAGTTATCTTCTCTACTGGATTGTGAAATTCACATATGTATTTTTTATTAATCCTTAAGTGAGTTGCAGAATTCCATTTCATATTTTCATAGCTCTCTTTTTCTCTCTCAGTGTCATGTTAACATTTTAATTTTATTCTTTTTTATGTTAAAGTTTTTATGTTTTCATATTTCATCTACTAGAAATACTTATTGACTAATATTTATTGCACACTTGTTCAGACACTTTTTGCACAATCAAACAAATATTTAGTAAATGACATGAGATATGTGGTTTGTCTCCATACCCTTTCTGGATCATTATAGTTTCATTCAACCTCATACATCTCCCGTATTTCCCTCTAGAGCAATGGTAATATGGAGTCCCCAAGTCATACTGGGGAAATGCTGAGAAGACTTATAGTGCATTTAACATATTCTCCAATGGAGTAATAGAAGTCCAGCTGAAGTTCATATCCAAATGAACTTAGACATTCATTCCATACATCTCTTATGCTAACTTGAAGAAAGTGCATTTAAATTCTGTATTTCCATTAAAAGTATTTTATGATCTGGGACATCTAGCATTCAAGAGTTATCAGAGAGAGAGAGAGACTAGTTCCCTGTATTTTCCAGTCAGACTACTAGCTGTTAAGCCTTTTTTAGCAATAGCCTATGTATGTGTTTAATGGAAATTGCTTGCATATTAACAGATTTAGCATTAATGTTACAAAAGCGGTTATGTTACAACGCTTGTACAGCAGTGTTTTTATATAATTAGAGTATGGTAAATTCCCAGTATTTAGAAGGAAGAAGAAGTTTGGCAAATGCAATCAGGGTATTAATGGTATTTTCCACACGTACTTAGGTAATTAATAATCATCATAATGTATGTTTTTTATAGAGGTAAAACAAATAAAAGGAAGCTATTACAGGTATTGTTTGGAAATATAAAGGTTTTTCTTTTTTTTTAATTTTTTTTTCAACGTTTATTTATTTTTGGGACAGAGAGAGACAGAGCATGAACGGGGGAGGGGCAGAGAGAGAGGGAGACACAGAATCAGAAACAGGCTCCAGGCTCTGAGCCATCAGCCCAGAGCCTGACGCGGGGCTCGAACTCACGGACCGCGAGATCGTGACCTGGCTGAAGTCGGACGCTTAACCAACTGCGCCATCCAGGCGCCCCTATAAAGGTTTTTCTGTAAGCTTTTTAGTTCCAGAGAAAATACTTTAAATCAATAGAACCTGGCAAGTGCACTCAGTAGAAACACGATAGAACATTTTAAGCCCCTAAACTACAGCAGGATATTAAAAAACAACCATATAGGCAGATAAAAAGTATTGCTTAGTACTGTTAAAAGTCTGCAAGTTATAATCATTCTCAAAACTTTATTTCTATTAATATAAAAGGTATTCAATTTATGTCAAGAGAAGTTTGCTATTAAAAAAGCCAATATTTGCATAACTTGTGCCACAAAATGTATATAAATTAAACCTTCAAATATGCTTTATATATTAAGTCATGGGATATAAAATTAAACAGTTCTTTTAAATTTATTATAGTAATGATGAGTAATATATAAGAAAATATAGCATGCCTCAAGTAATATTATTGGTCCATTTATCCATTTAATTTATTTTCTCATCTAGTCCAGGAAATCATAATCTGGAGTCCATAGACAGGATTCAAGGGGTCCCATGGACTTCCTGAAATTGTATGCAAAATTTCATGTGTGTGTATGGCATTTATAATTGTATATTGTGGATTTATAATTTTATAAGATTTCCAATGCTGGCAGTGGCCCAAAAGACCATTTTTGGCTCAAAGGCCAAGAAGCTTAATCTGTTTTTCTTTCTTTCCCTTTTGTAGATCAAGACTCTCTAAAAAGAGAAACTAAGGGATGATTATTCACTTCATGCCAATAAAAAAAAAAAATACTAACAAGTTCCACATAGTGAGATCTAGTAGCACATTTAAATTATGAATTGCTTTTGAAAAACTCAATTTTACGGGGCGCCTGG